AAAGCTTTCATTGGGCAAATTTACAATGTACACTTCATCCAGTGATTATTTATTTCAAAAAAGAAGGCATTCTCAAGCACAAATCCTATTGTATTATTTCGGATGATAAGATCCATGATGTGAGCATGGTTTGTAAAATTATTGAGGTTGTTTGCAATGATATAAAAACAAATTTGCCTCAAATAAAATATTGAATACTTTTCAGATGGGTGTGCAGGTCAATATAAGAATTGCAAAAATATGTTAAATCTTTGTTTCCATTGTGAAGATTTTGGTTTTCCTGCTAAATGGAACTTTTTTGCAACTAGTCACGGTAAGCAACCTTGTGATGGGATAGGTGGTACAGTCAAATGTCTTGCAACACTGGCAAGTTTGCAAAGAGATAAGGATAATCATATTTTATCTCCACAAACAATGTTTAAATATTGCAATGAAAACATTGAAGGCATAAATTTCATATATATTTCATTAGAAGATTTAACTTTGGTGAGAACCGCTCTTAAAGAACAATTAGATACTGCTAATACAATACCTGGATCACATAGTTACCATCAGTTTGTACCACTTGGCCATCAAAAGGTAAATTATTATTTTTTAATTATACCTTTTACCATATTTTAAAATACACGCATAACTTTTATTGATAAACTCAAATAGATATTAAATTTTTGCAGAATCATTATCAAAAATATTTGTATTTTATTTTATTTCCTCTGCATTTGCTATCTATACATTTAATAATATGTTTGATAAGTAAAACAGAATAATTGCATATGTTACTATTTTGTTTAGGTAGGCACTAAGCTATGCAGTGTTGATGAAGAATTTGCTTTAATTCATGACTTTGGAAATATCCAGATAACAACTGTAAACCTAGTACCAGGTGATTATGCCTGTGTTTCCTATGAGCAAAAGTGGTGGATAGGAGTCATTGAAGATATTAATTTAGAAGAAAAAAATGTGCTTGTAAAATTTATGTGTCTTAATGGTCCTGCACGGTCGTTTAAATGGCCACCATGTCCACATTGGCCATTTAAACAACCATGCAGGACCATTAAGACAAATAAATGGCCACAATATCCTCATTATTTGCAAAGTTGAGGTACCGATAAGAAAAACAGGACTTTGCTACTATTTAGCCAAAGAGGACTTAAAAAAAATTATTTTCCCAAGGAAGTAGAGATTTTTATATTTATGAGTCTATTATGTCTTATCCATTCTTTTTTTAAATATTATGTTTTGTGAACCAACTTGTAAGTAATGTGAATGTAAAGCATATATAAAATCACTAAAGTTTAGTATTTTTTTAAAAAAATTTATATACGTTTAAATTTTGTTGTAAATATCATATGAAAATAAAAAAGATAATAAAGTCACTAAATTTTTAGTTTCTAATTGATTGATTGGTAAAAGGTGGGATTATATTAAGTGTCTAATTTAAAAAATATTAAAAAATTTGGTGTCTATATCAAACATCAATAATTCCTCAAGTAAATATAAGGCCAAAACAAAATTGGTTCGAAAAGTAGGTGTTGATCTTATTTTTAAGAAAATCGAAATTAAATTTGTTTTATATCAGTCAGATTTTTTTTTATAGCTATAATTGTCGATGCCTTTTTTTCTCGGCGTTATGAAGTGTATTTTATGGATCTTAAAATAAGCTACATTCCCTTGTTTTGACATATAAAAAACTATATTTTTCGGATTTAACAGATTTTAAACTCTTTTGGTACAAAGTTTCAGAATTGTGGCATCACTACAAGCACCATATTAAGGTGAAAGTAAACGGAATGATTTCCGGCACTTCCCCCTCCCCCCCCCCTCCCCCTCAGATTTTAGTCAAAATCAAGGAAACTTCAAATTGCTGTAAACTATAAACGGTAAGAAATTTTATGAAAAAAAATTCAATCTTTCCCAACATATGTCTATAAACATTTGTGCCAAGTTTCAAAAATTATGATGATATAGTGTGCAGATTTGTGTTTTTTAAGAAATTTAGAGAATTTAGTTTCGATTTATTTGTACTTCCACGTTATAACATATGTTAGATAACTTTGTATATAAGAAAAGTAAAAAATTTTTAGATTCTCCTAGAAAAGTATAGGTTTGACTTTGTAAAGAATGTCGATACTTTTTGATATTTTTGTATTTAATGTTTTTATATGGGCTTTCCAAGAAATCGTTTCGTCAATAATTATCCCAAGAAATTTATTAGTTTCAGTTCTCTCAAATTTTATATTTTCAATTTTTAATAATAGTAGCATGCTTGGTAGCTTTTTTTTTTTTTTTTACTGGTTGGAATGAAATAAGATGTATTTTGTTTTGTTTGTATTTAAAGATAATTTATTTATTTTAAACCAAATGTTTAGACTCTCAAGGTTATTGTTCACAGATTCAGAGAGTTTTTCAATTGATGCTGATGAATAAAACAAGTTTGTGTCATCAGCAAAGATTATTGCATCAAGCTTTTTTAGTGATTGTGGATGATCGTTAATATAAATTAAAGATAAAAGAATTGAAACTTTGGGGATCTCCGCATTTTATTTTACCCAAAAAAGTATTATATTTACGACTTTCATAAAAAAATTTATTTAAAAAAATGTTTATTTTTACTTAAACAGTTAACTTTTTAATTTTATATCAAACATGAATATGAAATTAATCCTTAAAGTCAAGGACAGATCCATTAAAGAAAGAAGGAGGGGGGGTCGAGAAAAGGTGATTGGATTAATTAAATTAACCCCCCCCCCCCGCCCTCCACTTTCTCAACCTTAGATATTTTAGAAATAATTTTTGTAAATTTGTATATTTAACACAGTATGTTCTTTGAAAACGGAAGTAAATGAGCAGCCGTGGCGCAGTGGCCTCAGAAACATAAGATCCGTGGTTCAAACCCCACCTCTGGGCAAGCTTTGCGACATCGGTTGGGAAGGAGGCGTGAACTTCCTATTAAATGCTCTTCCGCGGTGCTCTGTGATAAGACCGTAAGGAATTCTTGGGGCACCTTAACCAACTTATTTGACTGACGACTATATATTCTGATATTTTGTAAGATTAAATTAATAATAATCTAACTAAAAATAATTTTTTCCATTCGGCGCCATAGTGAATAAAATTAACTATTAAATTATAACAAAAATAATTTTATTTAAAGTCATTATGAGATCATAACGTGTATATTTATGCTTTTTTTATTTATGAATTTTAATATTGTTTATAATTTTCTTTATCTGATGGTAAAATTGGGTATCAAAGGAGCTTGATGATAATCTGATAAATTGATGGTTATCTTTTTTGTCATTATTTTGAATTTATTTTATATTTATAAATGTATTAGGTATATTTATATTCATAAATGTATGGAAGTAATAGGAGAGAGTAAAATGTTTATATAGTGACGAAACAAATTATTAAAGAAAAAAGATTTTAAAAATTTGAAAAATGACTGAATGAAATATTTGACAAATGGCGCAAGCATTCAACTATCAACTTCAAACAAAAAACGTAAGTATGAAAAGCTATGAAAGATGGCTTTGAAGATTTATTTTAATAATTGAAAGTATGAACTAATTTATTTTAATTAATGCAAGTATGAACTGATTTAACATAAATTTATTAGTTTAAATATCGAAATTTTTCTTCAATAAAAAATCACTAATTTATCAGTAATTTTGCGAGGTTAGAACTGACTTGTTTTGCACCTTTTTTAAGTTTTAAAATCAAACGAATTAAGAAATAAAATTTTCAAGACCCCAGTCAACACAATGACGTCTTAAACGTGTCTTATAAGTAGTCTTGCGCATTTGTAGACGGCTAGATCGTAATGGTAAAAAAAGTTTTTTTATAAAGATATTTTTATGACTTCTAATAACATCTTCTAGATGTCTAATGAACGTTTAATGTCTAATGAACATTTACTGAAATGTCTAATGAACGTTTAATGAATGCCTAATGAACATTTACTGAAATGTCTAATGAATGTTTAATGATAACTACTTACGTAGATTTTAGTTTATCTACATCATTATTAAAATATGATGATTTTAGCTGTAATAATTGCAACGTTTTTCCTTGCTTCAAATTAAATGCTCAAACTGTAAGTTACCAAAAAACTCGCCTGTTTTTTAGGTTTAATAACGAAAAAACAAGTAAACAGCTTTGTAATTTTAAAATAAACACAAGTCCACTTCATGTGCAACCATTTATTATCATGTTTTAAAAAACAATAATAAAAATCTTGTATGGAATAATTAATTTGCCAACACACAATTTTTATGTTTTAAAATATTAAAATAACTTTAGCTTTATCAGCGTTAAACAAAATTAAATACGGTATACGTATAATGTCCTTAGAAATATAATTTAATGATTTATAAACCTTCAGATACCTGCAAACAGAAGACGTCTTAAAAGCGTGTAAAAGACGTCCAGGCGTATAAAAAACGTCGTAAGACGTATTAACTGCAATTATAATTCAAAACCTCGCTCTCCTTAAATTTACTCTATGAAATAAGCATAATTAAAACTCAGCAAGTCTAGAACCCTCAAAATTTTTTGAATGGACTTGTAACTTAATTTCATGCTGTTTTTTGTTATGCAAATTAACTTCGTTTAGATGTACATTACGCATACTCGGTAGATATGCATCGTTATGCAAAATAACTAATGCGTCTCTCTAGAGTGCATAGTTATACATAACAGGTACAAAAATATCAAAACAATTCTTTCCAATATTTTATTTGATTTAATATACTGTTTTAGTTTAATTTGTTCTTGAATATATGGCTTTTGAGTTAACTTAATAATACTTAATAAAATTTGATAGATAAGAACGCGTAATATCTCGAGCGGATAAGAGAAATCATTATTTTTGAAGCTAAAAAAAAAAAAACTATATTATTATCTTTTAAAAAATTTAAAAAGATAATAATAATATAGCTGGATTTTTTAAAGTCCTTTTAAGTAAAAACACATTAAAATAATTGATCCAAATATAATATTATCGTATAAAAAAAATTATAACTATTCCAGTTATCATATAAAAATACGTGAGAAAATAAATATGAGTATTTGCAATAAAAACAATATAAACATTTTTTTTTACTATAAAACTTTTTAAAAAATTATCAACCCTATTTAAAATATTTTTAAAATATTTTTAAAAATAAATATCAAAATATTGATTATAATAAAATAGAGTAAAAAATAATAAATTAAAAAGTTGATGCGTTTTATCAAATTATATCCTGATGATATTTTAAAAGTCTGTTTTAATGCTTGAAAATCATTAAGACAGAATATAGAAACCATGTAGTGTTTAATAATAATAAATTAAAACAATTAAATATTCTAGATATAAATATTAATAACGAAAAAAAAACATTTTATAAATTTATATTACTTAATTTCTCGTCTTCAGCCAAACCCTTCTTTTCGTTGTTAGGATCTTCATCAATGTTTTTGCTGAATCGGCAAAATACTAAAAAATTTACAGACTTTTCAGAAAAATTCTTCCAAAAAAAAAATCCAAAATTAAACACAGCAAAAATGTATTTTTACTAAATATAAATAAAAAAATTCACTAACTGGTCAGAAAAACTGGTAATGCTACAAGTCCGTGTAGTAGCCCAAGCGTAATGATTGTAAACATCATTTTAAAAAACAAAACAAAAAGTTTACTTGAACTGCAGGCAAGAACTAATACACCTATCAACGTGCTTCCCCCTTAAAAAATGAAATTATAAATTGCATTAGTAAAAAAAAAACAGAATTAAATAACAGGTAAATAAAACAAAACATAACGAAAAACAACAAATCTAAACACAAACCTCCTTTTAAAACACTGCCGCCTAGCGAAACTAAAGAATCAATAATGCGATCTTCTGGAGTTAACTTTTGAGATATAAGATAGCCATGGGTTATATGACAGCTATAGTCTACAGAAAAACCGATTGCCATAACTAAAACAATCATTGTTATTGAATTTAAAGAGAGTCCCCAAATATACATTACAGCAAATAACTCCAGTGTAAAAAATACAAATGAAACAAAAAGAAGAAAAGTGACTTTAAAATGAATTAAATACGGTAAAGTGACAAATAATATGACCAAGCAGCAAATAATAAGATTAACAAGTGTTTCTTGGACTATCACAACTAACTGTGAAGCATAAATAAATGGGAAAGAAACAGGTATAAACTCAATTTTTAATTTTTCAAGACTTTTTCGAAGTGAAAGCATTGCATCTCTACGAAAAATCCAACTGTGAACAGGCTTTGTAAAAAAATGTACTCTTGATGCAAGAATATTCTTATTTCTATCAAACAATATATCTCTTTTATACATGGGATGCAGTGAAAGAAATTCATTAAGCTTTGTGCTGAAAGTGAAATTACTAAAGTTGCTCTTATTTGACCATCGCACATACGAAGTCAACCAATTATATGAGCTGTTGAAGTATTTTTCTTTGGCAATTTGATCTAGAGCAAAAAATTGATTCTGAATCTCAGATGATGAATAGTCAATGTTAGGATCCTTAAGAACTAAATCAATGGGAAAGTAATCTTCAGCTGGGAAATATTTTTCAATAGTGTTGATCCATTTAACAAACTTTGAATGGTCAGGACCAATTATCTTAAAATCAAAATTCAAATCAGTTTGATAACATCCATATACTCCCAAAACTACCATTACTATACTTAAAAATGTTACAATAATCTTGGAAGATGTTTTCATTAAATAACTTCCATAACACTCCATAACCTAAATAACAAGATTATTATCTCCATAAAAAATAATAATGTAACTATCTCCATTATACAATTAAAAGTCTATCGAATTTACTAAATATTTGATTAAAGACACTTGTAAAATGTTATAGATGTCATCAGTGAAATCTTTGTCTTTTCAAAAAAAAAAATCAGAAAATACCAAATAAATATACTTCACTATGTATCAAATAATTCAAAAAATAAATATACATAAATTCCCCTTTAATATAAAAACTGTCTTAATGGTTCACTTTTATTAATAAAGCCTTAAATCTAATTTTAACTAACTTTTTATATATTATCTTGTATTCTATAGATTTATTTCTGACAACACATATAGTTTCAATCTTCTTGTTCAATTGCTGATTTCTTCACAATAATAACCATGAGGTTTTACTGTTGGAAACAATACAAAGGACCACGGCTTTTAAAACATCAAAGGCTTTCAAAAATGCAGTATGTTGGTCAGGCCAAACTTGGTTTACTAATTATCTCTTAGTATATATTTATATATACAAAGAGATTTACTAATTATCTCTTCATTTATATATTTATATATATGTATGCATATATATACATATGTATGCATATATATATATATATATATATGCATATATATATATATATATTATATGTTGTAAATATATATATATATATTTACAACTTTCAGAAAGTTATAAATATATATATATATATATATATATATATATATATATATATATATATATATATATATATATATATTATAAATATATATATATATATATATATATATATATATTTATAACTTTCTGAAAGTTGTAAATATATATATATTTATAACTTTCTGCGCAATTAAAATATCTTTGAATTATCATTGTATATAAAGTAGACCATACTATTATTGTTATTAAGTTAATATTCGTGGTTTAAATGTTGTTATTTATGAGTAATTGGCTTTGCTATTTCGAGTATGTATATTTAATAAAAAGCAAAGTCCATTGGTTTTAGCACTTACGGGGACACACTAGAAAATGATTTTTTGCATGTATCATGTATATATATATCTTACTTTTTTTTTTTGAAAACTCTTCTATCTTCTTAGAAAAATTAAATAAATAATAAAAAAAGTATTGAGCTATAATCTAATCATGAGTTTTTTAAGAATATTTTTTTCACTCTTGAAGGTTTTTTTTTCAAACACAAACTTGCGAACTTGATTAAAATCACATTTAAAAATGTAAACAAATGAAACGATAATGTTTTTTTTACTTTGACATTGACTTTATCTTTATATTATTAGGATTGATTTATGTTGTATTTGCATTTTAACTTTAAATATAACTACTTTACTGACAGTAAAGATATTATAACATGACTTAAATTTTTTTATCTTAGTAAGATGTTAAAATCCTTATGATATTATAGTATTTTAAACTTCAAGATTTTATAATATCACCAAGATGTTTTCATAAAAGATATTTAAGATACATATCACACATTTATAATATATATTACAAAAACATTTATGATATATTATTTATAATATATTATTTAGTAAGATATTTATAATATATTTTATCCTACTTTAGTTATAAATACTTTATTGTCAGTAAAGATAATTTTTACTAACCTTAAAGTATTAATAATTAAAGTACGATATAAAATATTAAAAATATCTTTAACAAATAAAATATTTATAATATCTTTGTGAGAGTAAAGTATGATTTCCTTTTTGTACCTTCTGTAACTGTAATGCTGTGCATAAGAGAGTTTTTAACTGAAAAATATTTTTCTAGAGTGTAAAAATAATAAAATTTGCCTAAGTCTATTATTATTTGTATCAACTTAAGTTTTATTTTAGTTTATGTAAATACTAATCAGCAAAAATGAATTTTATTTATAACCAATGATTTTTTTTTATTTCATTTTGTAACATAAATGATGTTGAAAGTAAAAGTTAGTGCAAGTTTTAGATAAATTGATGTTTAAAATATATTTAGAAACCTTTTTTAACTTCGTTAAAAACCCTATGTCAAAACATATATTTGATTTTATTTTGTACTTATCCTATATTTAAATTTAACTAATAAAGTTATTTAGCATAATCTTTAATTTAACTTGAAAAAACTAGCTGGCATTATAAAAAAAATCAGTTTTTCAAGTTTGCAATTTATTAAAGATAAAATAATGTTATGGTCATAAGAATAGACAATTGAAGGACGTGTTATATTGTTAATTAAACTTTCTATTGACTGCAACGATTATTTTACTGATTGTTCAGGGTTTTTTAGTTAGCAAATGATGTTAAGGTCTGAGCTCTGATAAAACAAATCTGCATAAAATCAGTTTAGTTTTTTATTCTATATCTATAAAGACCAATAAAATTGCAAGCCCTTCTAATATATTTGTTACAAAAAAATTGTAAACTTACAAGGGTATACAATAAAAAGGGTATACAATTCTGGTAGTATACTTTTATTGATTTTGTTTTATATGATTTAATATATGTTCATGATATGTTTATTATTATATGATTATAATATATGTTATATGATTATAATATATGTTTATGATATGTTTATTATTATATGATTATAATATATGTTATATGATTATAATATATGTTTATGATATGTTTAAGAGTTTTTAATTTTTTTATTTGTTTAACATTTATTTTACTCTACTTTCAAAACACTTTAAGTCTAAATAAAATTTTAAAATTAGGTTTTTTAATAAAGCCATGTAGGTCATTTTTAAAACTGTATTGTGTTTTCTTATTTTAAAATATTATTTTGTTATTTTAGAATACAGTAGAAATAAAACTTTTTGAAAGAAACTACTTTTAATGAAACTTAAAGCAAGTAGCATGCAAGTTATTAATTGATTTGTTAATGATATATTCTCTGTATAGTAAAAAGTATATAGTAAAAAAAAAAACTGTATAGTAAAAGCAAATGGAAATACCAGCTGTTAAATCGTCCATTGAAATTATTAGCTTCGCAATGGCGAAAAAGATAATTCTTTTATAAAAAAAGATGAACAGCTAAAGTGCATGGAGGGACTGCTGAGATGCATTTGATGCATTCAAAAGTATCCCAAAACACAAATTTAAAAAAATTAATGAATAAATAAAGTTTTCAGAATGATTTTAAATTAGTTCAAGTTATTAAAGCAGTTTTGAAGATTAAAAACTTACAATTTTATAAGCATGAATTAATACATTTTAAAACTTCACGACTAGATTTGTTTAATAAAATCTTCGCAGACTCATTCAGAACAGAAATAGGAACTTTAATCAAACCAGATTGTGAAAATGCCACAAATCAATTTTTTTATCGTTTCTCTATTTATTTATGAATCTGATTATTTTATTTCTCTAAATAAGTCTTTTTAAATTTTGAATATTATTATTAGCTTTAATTCTGATAGTTTTCAGGGCTTTTTTTACTTAGCAACTAATTTAAAATAAGTTGTAGGTATTCAGTGACAGATCCAGGATTTTTTGGTGATTGAGCTAACTTCCAGACACGGATTAATTGCAATCAGGTAACACAAGATAAACTTGTTGATAAAAATCTGAGATTAAATAATTTTATAATATACTTTATGCGTATATCTTTGTTGTCAATTTTTTATGTAGTTAAACCTAATTTTTGAAGAGTGGCCTTAGGTACAATAGCTTGTGGTTTTAGGTACAATTTAAAAATTTTATTTTACCTAGAGCCACAAGTTTTTAGATGCTTTTACATGACGGAGTTCCATAATTCAATATTTTATACTAGAAATATTTTATAATAGAAATCAAGTCCTGAAATGAGTCCTTTGAATTCATGAAAAAATTAAACTTTTTAAATATCATTATACTTTCTAACAAACAAATAAAAATTTATATACCGGACATTATTAAAAAATAATCACATACCTTAGTGAAATAACTTGAACTACTTTCATTGCCAACATCTTTTACTCTTCTCATCCATGGCACACAATCAATTCTAGAATTGTCAATTCTTTTCATATCATACACAAGTAAAGCAAGAAACAGGGAATTCAGCATCAAAAAAACAAAAAAAATGGAGAAAATTGCAAAAATACAGAAAATCCTCACGGATGGAAAAGAAGATGTACACCCAATAATAAATGCTACAAGATCTGTAATTGTTGTCATAGTAATTGTAAAACCAACATCCTGCATAACTTTACCAAGCTTATCAGAACTTGCCGGTACAGAATGAAGACAATCAACTTTATTCAAAATTATGAACATATCATCAATACCAATACCTATGACAAGAAATGGCAAAACACCTACAAATGAGGCAAATGGCTGACCGATCAAAAATGTAAATCCAAATCCTGCACCAATTCCAAGTGTAATGCATAAAATCCCAAATAGACTCAATACAAAATGACCCATGACCAAAGATCCAATGCGAGTGACAGAAACAGAACAAAATAAAACCATCAAACCAATAGATATACTAACAAGTGGAAGGTTTTCAACAGTGTTTTCAGCAACTGCATCATCCAGACTACGAACAGTATTATATAAAATATTGTATCCATAGCTTTTTATAGTTAACTCATTAGATTTTAAATAATCCATCATCTTTGTTTCCCACAATTTATTTTTTTCATAGTTTTTTCTTGTCTTTGGAAACCTTATATAATATTGCACTCGTAATGCCTTAGCAAACACATTTGTGTTGTTAATTTTCATATTTCCGAGCAATAAGGGAAAATTATATTTTGCTGGAGCTCCATTACTCATAAGATATGATTCATTAAAATAAGCAGTTAAAAGTCTATCATTTATTTGGTTGGTAGTATCGTTTAAATAGTAAAAATTATCAAGGACGTTATTGGTCAAGCACAACTTGTTTATCTGTACACAAAACTCATTAATGCCTGGTATTTCCAAAATTGTATTGTGTAAAGTTTGCATTACCTTAAATACCTCAGCCGTTAAAACAGACTGCTCCTTATTTGTAGAAAAAATTACAAATTCTTCTGTTTGTATAAAATAATTAAATGTATCCTCTACTTTTGCTAAGTCTTTGAATATTCGAGAATTCTGGGGATAATGAATCCTTTCAGATTGACCATAGATATCAAAACGTAAAAATCCAAAGCAAAAAGCAAATGACATAAAAAGGCTGCATATTATAACTGTCGTTGGGTGATCCCAAACAAACAATCCCCATCTTTTAAATGCATTTCCAATGTTGTTATGGAGTTTATAACAAAACTGAAACCATATTGTACACATTGCTACTTTAAAGGCAATACTTTTAGCGCGTTAACTTGTGTAATAATATCGTTAAGTAACTTCGCTGCAAAATCACAGCGATTTTGCAGCGAAGTTACTTAACGATATTATTACATAAGTTAACTTCTTTTATGATGAAAAGGTAAAAACCTTGATTAAATTAAAGCACAATTGAAGAGATTAAACATATAAAAAAATAAGAAAAAGATTGTCAACTTTACCTTTGAATTAAAATTTTTTTACTATCTATTTGCAAAAATTTTTAATGTCTATTTGCTACATATCTAATAAAAAAATTTTATAAAAAATTTCGTATCTAACATGATATAATTACCGCTATAATTTTTTTTTTTTTTTTTTTGCTTAAAAATAGAAAAAGTTAATTTTTTAAATAGAAAAATAGATTATATTAAAAATTAGTAATAGAAAAAGTTAATTTTTTAAATATAAAATAGCTAAAAAATAAAACATATACTGCTTATAGAAAGAGCAAGTCAATGCAATACCAAAATTAATGGAATCGTTTCGGTTATGAAACCTAAAAGAAGAAAAAACAACAAGTTGTGAAGGTTGTGTTGTTTATAAGTAGTAGTTACTACTTATCTCTAACAATTGTTCACATAATTATATAAATAAAATTCTTTTATTTTATAATAATAGAGTTTATTTTTTTATCTTAATTTCATTATCTTTTGCGCAATGTAAGATTTTTATTCCGACTGTTTTTTACACGCCAGAAAAATTTCAATATTGATGAATGGCAACATCTTTAATGAAACTAATTTACGCCCTCTACGATTATCATTCACTTCTGACCTCATGTTAAAACCATATATATTATCATTCACTTCTGACCTCATATTAAAACCATATACATTATCATTCACTTTTGACCTTTTGTCAAAACCATATACATTATCATTCACTTCTGACCTTTTGTCAAAACCATATATACAACCCAATGTAAAGTTAGCATCTGGTAAGGTTCTATTTATTTATCATGCTAGCTGTTTTTTTTACTCCTGATTCAATTCTCTACTTCTGAAAATCTTTTATTTTTCCCTGTATGGAATACCGTTTATAGCTGATTCTTCTACAAATGTCTTTTCTTTTTTAAACAAGGTCCAAAAACATATTGTAAATGTAGATCTCTAACTTCAAAGCTTAAGTCTCTGTTTCACTGTTGTATTGTTGCATCTCTTTCTCTACAAAAACTTGATCGCCGTTAAACAAACTATCGTATTTTGTTTCATTAACTAAAACTCAATCTCACGTGACTCATCATTCAGGTAAGTGGCATCTTTTTATTATGTCTATCTCTTCATGCTCTAAATACTTTTGGTCATAAAATTTTTTTTGCTTATAAAAATGCTTTAAAGCATACTTTTTAGTGCATGTCAACTTTAAACGGTTCAATGTCAATTCGTAGTTGGTTTGACAACGTCGGGAAGCTGCTTTGGTCAGATGTAGGTAAATAGTATAAAAGTTGTTTTGAACTTGGCATCATCATTTTAAAAAAAAAGCGGAAACTTTACCTTCAACTTAAATATCAGCATTGAAATTGTGGTTATTACCTTTGCTACCAGCAAGGAAGGTAATAATAATTTTAATATATTTGCACTATGCACAATGTGTAATAAATTTACACCCTTTGCTAACTAAGTGTATTTTTTTTCAAAAATTCTCAAAGAATATAGGTAGAATTTAATTTAAAATGTAGGTAATATTTTATTTAAAAAATTTCTTTTAATTATTGCCCTGCAAATTACTTATTTTTATATTTATATTGGTGCGCCCAACAACCGTAATCTATATTCGATATTGATTGCGTTTGTTCAGTCATAAGGTCAAATTTTTATATTTAATTTTATCTACGTTTGTCTGCTTCTTGTAACCTTGCGATAATACGTCATTCAATTCACATAACTTTTAAATCTTAAGCTTTCCATTTGGAACTTTACTCAGGAATTTTTTAATTAGAAATAGCAGTTGGTTGTTTTTTATTATTTTTTTTAAATATATATTTTACAGCTTTAGGCCTTCTGCGAGTTTCCTTACAAAGTCACAATTATTTCACCAAATTATTTTATCAAATTTATTATCATAAAATATATATTAAACATATACTTTGTATTTAACACAGTGTGTTTGACAATATATTTTTAACGATTTATTATTTTTAACGATTTATTATTATTGTTGTTTTCTCTATGACTATATATTATGTCAAGAAAAGGAATTGTGACAATACTCTATAAAGTTGTAAAAAATCATGAAAAAAAAAAAAAAAAAAAACTTGTTGCTTCTTTTTTTTGTTTTGTTTTATGTTCTTAACTCTTTTTATTAGATTTTGTTTTTCAAATGTTCTAAACGAAAAAAGTTTTTTTTTCTCTCAACCTTTATACAGGTAGCAATAGTTTTTCTCGGTTGCAACCTAGAAAAACGATTGTTGTTTTTTTTTAACAAACAACGAGATATAAACGTTAAAAAGATAATCGCACGCAAAATAAAAGTTATTTACCATTAATTTAACAAACAACGAGATACAAACGTTAACAAGATAATCGCACGCAAAAAAAAAAAAAAAAATCTCTATACAATTAGTAAAATATTTTGTCAGTATGTCAAGATTATTATAAGAGTATTAAAAACAAAGATCTTCAAGTTTAAAGTTTATTAAACCGCAAGTGAAAAATAAAAATGACAATTATTTAATATTAGCTCATCAACTTGATAAAAAAAAGTCAACTTTTTTTATTAATGTTTGCGTTACAAATAAGGGAATAGTTTTTATCTAAATATTTATTTACGTCATTTTAAAAATCTAGAGTTGAATTTCTCGAATTGTTTATAAGTAGTAATTATCACTTTGCAATATAATGAGTTTAAAGACTTTTTTTTTTCATAGACTTCCCTTTCGAAAATGTCATTTGAAGAAGAGTACGATATTATTTCAATTACTGGTATGCAAATTTGTTTCAGTTTTGTTATTCATATTTATGGTATTTTAATTTTGAAAGCATACAAAAATTTTTTTGCATAGAAGTTAACAAAACATCGTACGTTGACAATTCCTTCAAAGATATAGTTGCCCCATTTGTCAATGGTATTGAAAAAATTATTGGGAACCCACATTTTTGCAAAGAGCACTTCAGACGCAGAAATTTATTTTTATGTGAGGCATATTGTTTACTTGTTACCGGATTTAAAGATGCAACAAAGTTACTCCAATTCGAAAGGCAGCTAAAAATAGGTATTAATTACATAGTTATACTCATGTATGTGTATATTTGTACTTATTTATGTGTGTATGTGTATGTGTGTATATGTATAAATATATATATATATATATATATATATATATATGCATGTATACATGTGTATATGTATATATATATATATATGCGTGTATCTATATGTATGTATATATATATATATGTGTGTGTGTGTGTGTGTGTGTGTGTGTGTGTGTGTGTGTGTGTGTGTATATGTGTATGTGTATATGTATATGTGTATATGTGTGTGTGCGTATGTGTGTGTATGTATGTATATATATGTATTTATATATGTGTGTTTGTGTGTGTTCATATATATGGGTATATGTTCGCTTATATGTGTAAGTGTGCGAATGTGTATATAAATTTATATATATTCATTTTTACTTTTATCTTGTCTATTTATGATATTATGTATTAAACGATATCTTATTTTATTTTTTGAATTCTTGTAAACATTTATTCAATTTTTTCTTATATATTATATATTCTTCAATAACTTTGTAAAAAATTATAAATTGTAACACGGTGCTCAGCGATAAGGTAAATTAATGCCTTCTTCTTGCTCCGGCCATTAACTTAATTGTAAATTTTTGTAAACTGTAATACTTATTAAACGCCAAAATATAATGTTAAAAAAAAAAAAATAAAAATAAAAAAATGTTAAAAAACAGAAAAATTCTTTAGAAAGTGTAAGTGTGCTTTAAAAAGCATTGAAACTCTTTAAAAAAGTACAAAAATGATTTTTTTAAATACAATAATGGTTTATGAACTAAAAAGATTCTTTTAAAAATTCAGAAATGCTATAAATGAATTTTTTAAAATTCAGAAATTCAAAAAAACAACAAAATTTTTTATAAAATATAGAAATGTTTTAGGAAATATAGAAATAATTTTGAAATTTCAAGAATGTTTTAGAAATGGCTATGAAATATTTAAACGTTTCAAAATAATTCATTTTATGTCTTCATAAAACTTTGAATTGTAAAAAAAAATATAAGAACAATTGAAAAAAACTCAAGTAAAATTTTTATTTACGCATATTGTATAAAAATAAAAAGATATAGGGTTTAACAAATTTCGAAAGTGATTTAAGCAGCTATAGTGTTTAAAATAGAAAAGCATGTCTTAAAATTTAATGGAATATTACTTATAATTTAGAATACAAGCAAATAAAGGACCATATCATTAAGTGTGTGTCCATTTGTATCATTTACCGTGTGGTCGCGTGATTTTTGCACAATTTGTTAAATATTTTTTTCTCCATTTCTATACGTTATATAAATTATAATTAATATTTGTTTTTTTTTCCACCATTTGTTTTCAAACGAAATATAAAATAAGTGGTTGTCGTGGTTTGAAATAAGTGGTTGTCTTAGAAACCACTAGTTTCAAACGCAGTATAAGTGGTTAGTTGATCGTTATATAAGTGATGTTGATAAAAAAATATTATTATAAATATAGTTTATTTGAAAATATTTCATAAACTTGGCTTGGAACATTTATTTTCTTGGAAGCCTTAACTGTCTAGATATTATTTTTTTGTTCAAACCAGTTTGAGTTGATGTTACCTCAAGTTTTTCTTGTTTGTTTTTTAATAAATTAAAGTACGATAAAACCCATAAATTAAAATACAGTTTTAAAAAAGTTGTTTTTAAAACAAGTTTTTTTAATTTTTGTAGTTTTTTTAGTTTTTTCACTTTTATTTAGATGTAATTATGGAACACGAAACATTCAATAACCAATCAATAACCAGTCAATAATCAGTCGATAACCAATCAATAACCAATCAATAAATAATAAATGACAAATCAATAACAAGTCAATAACCAGCATTAATACATAACAAACTAAATATGGCAGTTAATTTAATTTTAACTGTTAGAATAAATAACCAGCTAATATAGTATTTGCTATAATTACGCAAATGTATATTAGATTAGCTAATATTGTTTTAGATTTAAGAGTGACTTTTTTTTGTTGAGACATTTGATAAACTTGTAAACTTCAAAATTGAAAATTGTTTCCTTAAAACATTTTGTGTCATTTTGTCATTTTTTTTTTTGTAGTTGCACATAAAAAAAAACCACGATGATAACTTAATTTTTTTCAGCTAATCGTTACCACAATAATCTAGATCTTCCTATATTTATGAATGGTAATGTAAATATTGATTAGTCATGTACACTTCATCTTCTAGGATTAACTCTTACTTCCGATGATTTTCTAAGACCATATATATTAAATCGATTGCAAAATTAGCATTTGCCTAGGTTGTATTTCTTTATCGTGCTCAAGTATGAGTATTTCTTACTCAGGATTCTATTCTTTATTACTATAAATCTCAAATCCGTCCTTGTACGGAATACTGTTACCATATCTAAGGCGGATCTTCCAATGATGTCTTTTCTCTTTTAGGCATGGTGCAAAAACGCATTGTAAACATAGTTAGACCTGCTCTTGCAGCCAATCTCCAACCATTTTCACATTGTGCTAATGTTACTTTTCTTTCTCTTTTCTACAAATACTATAATGGACACTGCTCTAATGAGCTAGCGTCTCTTGTACCATCTGCTCAAATTCATTCTCGCGTTACATCAGTTTTTCGAAATTGGTTCCTTTCATCTTTTTTTCCTGATTCATTTAACTTTAATCCTTTAAGTTGTCTTTTGATTGTTTTCTTTCTCTATAATTTCTCTTTCAACTCTAATAGTGGTTGCTTGCAGGCTTGTTGGAAGTAAAAATGTTTACAAAAAAAATTTTGATGTCATTTTACCTAATACAATCCTAAAGTGTGAAATCAAAAGTGCAAAAAGCAATTTTATGCTACAAAAAAAATAATTTTCCATTTATTCCAGTAGATTAATCAGTTGTTTTTTTGTTGTTTGTTTTTTTTTTTTTTTTTTTTTTTTTTTTGGGGGGGGGGGGGGTTGTAAACTGGTTTCACAAGCTTTCTTTGCTTTGACAGTAGATTTGACAAACAGCAACTTAAAAACTGGTGCCTTTAATGATATTAACCAACCTCTGATACCTGCAGGGGTGATTTCTACTTTTTAGAAAGCAGTTGGTATTTTTTAAGGATTCGCACTCCCTCATTTTGTTCCTTAAATCGCCTCTGGATATCTGGCAACATGTTTGCTTCTGGTTTACATTGGCTATTGTAAACCAATGACTAACAAGTTTCAGGTATACTATGAGTATGTGAGTGAAGAAAAAGGGGAGAAATTCTATTAAGATCTTAAGACAATTGAAGATTGTTAACAAGGACATTGGGACAAACACATGATGGCAGACTATCGTTGAAGCATCAAGTAATCACGTAATTTATACCTGCCCAGAACAAGTAAAATAGTCAATATATTTGATTTTATGCTTTATTTGCATTAAAAAAATGTTTAGAGTTTAAAAAAAAACTATGAACTCGAGAACATGTTGAGTCAGCAAAAAAAACTATAAATTTACTCAAGAACATGTTGAGTCAGCAAAAAATATGCAGTTTAAGTGTATTTTAAAGCAACTATTTTTTCTGAACTCTTTGAAAAACTCTTTGAGTTAAAATTTTTCTAAGAAGGTTACATTTTGATTAAGGGACCAAAACCATATTATTTAAAAAATCACAACATATTAAGTATTTTAACAAAAGCTAATTATAAAAACTAGATTTAGTCAAATTTCTTTACAGTAATCTCATGAAGAACTTATGAAAGTTTTACTCCAAGTAATTAAAAAGATATTTTTATTCAAAGTTGAAAAATTTGTTTACAGAGAAAACTAACAAACAAAGTTGGATAAATGTTAACAATTAATATCTTCAAAAATTTCTGCACACACATGAGTCATCATTACAAAAGCTATTTCTTATATCTTTTATTATGTCAACTATGCATACTAATGGATAAACTTAAAGAAATTAAAGTTTTTAGATGTTTGCTTTCAGTTGAATTGAAAGTACATCCAAATTTAGAGGAGAAACCGTCTTCTGCTAAAGTATCAGCTCACATGTTTCTATACCTACGTTACACCTTACTTATGCGCTTTACAAACTCTAATTGAAAAGTTTCCTTTAGAGTATCAGTAATCCCAATAGTACTTTTGACAAATGCAGTTTTGTTAGTTGATACCCATTGTTTCTATGTGATCTGATTGTCAGTTGATACCCATTGTTTCTATGTGATCTGATTGTCAGTTGATACCCATTGTTTCTATGTGATCTGATTGTCAGTTGATACCCATTGTTTCTATGTGATCCGATTGTCAGTTGATACCCCCATTGTTTCTATGTGATCTGATTGTCAGTTGATACCCATTGTTTCTATGTGATCCGATTGTCAGTTGATACCCCCATTGTTTCTATGTGATCTGATTGTCAGTTGATACCCATTGTTTCTATGTGATCTGATTGTCAGTTGATACCCATTGTTTCTATGTGATCTGATTATCAGTTGATACCCATTGTTTCTATGTGATCTGATTGTCAGTTGATACCCATTGTTTCTATGTGATCTGATTGTCAGTTGATACCCATTGTTTCTATGTGATCTGATTATCAGTTGATACCCATTGTTTCTATGTGATTTGATTGTCAGTTGAAGTATAGTTAATAGGTAAATAATTCAATAAAAATATAGTTTAATAGAACGCAATACCAAGTTGTTGTTTTAGATTTATCAGGGGGCATACCCTTTAAAAGAAATTTAATTCATGTTTAGTAAAAGATATTCGTTAAAGTTTTGTTTTAAATTGATTATGGAAAGAAATTGGTTTAAAATCATTATTTAAAAGTGTATTCATAATTTAAATCCTCAGTTCGTGATTGAGTATTTAGTAGGGTTTGGGATTGCTTAAAGAGGCGATTTTACGGGTATGTGTGTGTGTCATGCCTGAAGAAGGTGATTTTCAAGTTAAAGTTGGTGTTTTACGAATTTAATCAGCTAGTCGGCTATTTGAGACAACTGAGTCGGTTAAAATATGGTTTAGA